TCACATAAGACTATTTGAGCAATTTATCCCTGGACAGACTGCATGAGGAGTCTTCAGAGGTACCAGTGACGGACCTGAACAGCCAGGCTAGATGCTGTACTGTCTGGGAGACTATCAACAAAGGATTAGACAAAGCTTTAGTTGTGAAATTAAGCAGATGATTCTGGAACTTGAGCTCCTGCTCACATCTCACTCAAGGCTTGATAAAACTTGCAAATATGGCACTTGGAAGCATGCCTGTCACTGAGGCAGTACAGACACTTGTAAAATGGATCTGGTGATGATGGGATATGATCCTCACTGGAGGGTACACAAGTCTTCTCATGGCTAGCCGCTAAATAGGAGAAAAAAGCAAACACTACTACTCAGCTAGAGATAATATTGAGTGCTTCATCTCAACCGGGTGGTTGAAAGGAAGTGACGTGGCAACGTGCATGATCCACCTCGCTTGCCATACACCTAGCAGAGGTAAGATAATGCAAAACAGTCTTCAACGCTTTGTGACAGTTTAGAAGTTCTTTCCAAGGTTTCACTCAAAGAGAAACAGATCATTCAATTCCTGAAGATTATCAACCCTACAGCCCTGAGAAGGTGAAGGTGATGTAGCAACGCAATCTAAAGTCTGCTGAGTACTCAGAAATCTTGGAGAGATTAATTTTAAGACACCGTGCCTTCAAGCTAGAATTCGATAATGCATACTAGGCTATCGATGATAACTTGATACAGTTTTGATACACTTTCAATGGCTTTCAATAGTTGTTTACTAGGATCAATTTTCACAGTTAAATCTTGCTACAGCTTGGACCTGTTTTCTGGAGCCGAGTCTCATCCCACACTGTCAACTTGAGGTTCATAGACCAAAGGCCAACGTTTCAGATACATGCAGGGGAGGGTGGTGGTAAAAATGTTCAAGCTCACACCTAAGATGGATTCTCAATATTTTCTGTGCATTCCTCATTCTGAGGGATGATATCCAGTAGATGTTACACTAAACAATTAGTATATTCATTGGGAGCCCGAGCACAGGAACACTAAAACGTCCCTAAAGAGACGCAGATGAATTCTAGGCCACGAAAGTTTCCTCCCGTGATGATCAGATTGATTTTAGGTATCCTTGTGCTGCTGAAACAACTACGAATTCTAGCAGTTTGAAATCAATAAAGGGGAAAATGGACCCTGCAACTGCATAAAGCATGCAAATTATTTACTTTCAAAATACAGTGCGGCAAGTTCAGACATACAAACATAATAAATATCCAAATTTACAAACATTATTTGCTTATCAAAACAATATCTTGAAAGATAAACTGTAATTAAATTCAAATGGTAGAACAGAGTTAGAGATAAAAATGGTTTACTGAAGAACTGGTAACTTGCAGCACAGATGTCGAGGACGGCAGGTCGTCAGGCCAAAGAACAGTTCAGCATTACAGACTCTTGAAAGCGTAAGTATGCCTTTGATTGTATTTAAGATTTAAGGATTTTTGGTGAAGCTGCTGCCTTGGCGAGACACTTCACACTAAGGTGATCAGCAGCATCTTAACTCTTCCAAAGATAGCATCTAATGGCATTCATTGAATTTCTAACAGTATGTTACCTCTATTGTTGAAGAGAGGAATACAAACCACTCTTAGACCACCTTGGATAGTTTGCCAGATGTGACAGACTGGACAGGTACTTTTGGCATCTGGAAAAAACGTTATCTTCTAAAAACAAACAAAAAAATCGTATCCCTGCAACTTTAAACTCAGTGATGGCATGAAAGGCCTGGGCACAAAAGCTTCTGCATGAGGTCACATGATCCCGGGTGCTCCCAGCCTAAGCCACAGGCTCTGGCCCTGCAGCATGGCAGCTGCTTCGCTCCAGCTCTGTCACAGGGGTGTTGGCACAGGAGCCAGGATTTGTGTGTGTGCTTCCCTGTGTTCTGCTTTTGGCTTGGTAACCCTTGCCATCGTACCCTTGAAAGACTGCTGCCTTTGTTATTAATGTCAATTCACTTGCCAGATATAATTCAGTTTGTTTCAGTGAGATTAGCCACAGTTTAAAATGAGAAAATAAAAGGAGAATCAGACTACGTTATGTCTGCAAATCCTTGTATTTTCACCACAAGGCCATTTCAACTGACAAATTGCTTAAGTGTGGCAAATTAAATTCATGCTCATTTATATTACCAAAGGAATCCAATGGGTGTTATCACATGATCAAGTTATTTTTAAGGATTTTTAAAGAAATGTTCATCTTCATTATTTTACCTATTCAATCCATAATTAATACAGTAGGAGCAATACAAATTACTAGAAATAAAGTAAATCTTACGTGGCATGATGCCCTGGTCCACCAGCTGTTCTCGTGTCCGCCTTTGCTGTAGCCTTAGCTGAAGTACTGATAAAAGAAAACAATCATTCATTCCTGTGTAAGCACACCATCCCTCTTAAAGTGCAAAAAGAGAAACATTCAAAAAGATACTAAGTATCTTTAGAAATATTTTTAGAAATATTTTTGCTACTGCCTGACAGTAAACTCCAAGACACCTATCGTTAAGGATCAAATGCTAATAACGTAATTAAGATCAATTGCTTCCAATCCCTGTTTATGTTGCACTTTGTTGCTTTTTTGTCATATCCAATAAAGAGACTGTATTTCACATATTAATGCGCTTTTCCTAACTTATTACCTAGGTCTTCTAAGAGGTATTTAGCAACATTAAAATTTAGATTTTAAAATTCTAAATTTAATTTTTTTGCTACAACACTATTGCAGAATAGAAACAAAAAAAATATAGTGAGCATACAGTTTTGATTTATTTTAAAGAGTTTGTAACATAAATTACAACATGCAATGATTATATAACCTTCTTACATATGTTACACCAATCTCAAATGACTGCAGTATGCTAAAATATAAACGTTGTTTGTAGAGCACTTTAAAAGATAAACTGTGTATGTCTGATTGATTGCTTTTTTTTTTTTTTAAATGTAAAGGCTTATTTTATATCTAAGTAAATCTTGCTCAAATACAAGAAACTGAAGAGAAGGCAGCTTTTACCTGACTTAATCACAATAATCCAAGGAGTAATACAGTCAAGAACAGGCGTTTTCTTTGCTCCAAACTGGAGAAAATGCCGTTTTCCTGACTAATGGAGAGATGTACTTTTTTAATTTAAGGACCAAATAAATCCAATATTGTCAAATTTGGAAAGGATCTCGTTTAAACTTTCAGAGGTAACTTTTATGTTTCATTAAATTTCATAAAATGTTACAAAGGTTATCATCATTATTATTACTGTAAGTATAACTACTAAAAGATACATTAAATACTATACCAGAAACTCTACAAAAATGAGGAAAGAGAGAAAATAAAGGCATGGCCCACAACTTAGTTTGACCAGTTGAAATAATTTTAAATAAATGTTTGGAATCTTTTAGTAAGACCATCTAAACTGAGCCAGACTTTTAATTTAGTAGACAACATAAATTTTAAGATTTAAAATATTAAGGTTGAGTCCTGAAAGCTGCCTTTTTCATGTGAAAAAAATCATGTTTTAATAGGAAACGTATCTAGTAATACATATGTATATATATGGCAACGTTATTAAAAGGTAGTAACATACAGTGAAATTCGAGTCTGACAATAACTATTTTTAACTGTATAAATAAGGAGAGCTACTCTTAAGTAACACAGAAAAGGGGTAGGGCAAACTGGGCCCTTCCAGCTAATTTACTTTAGTAGCCATTTCCAGGATGTCATTAAGTTGCAGGACTGTTTTTTTCTGCCGTTAATTACCTCTGCCTCAGAGAGACATACACAAGTTTGAGATTAACAGGGGTCTCGTATCTGATAGCCACAAACAACTATCTACTTCTGTGACTCTGAACAATAAAAAGTTTAAAATGCTTTATTTCTTTGCTAGATACTCGGATCTGGCAGGATACCGAAACGTAACTCAAGCAATACCCAGTTCTAGCTACCTGCTAAAAAAGATGACTCAATAAATGGCCTAACTTTCCACTGCCCCTTCTACAGGGCTACGCTCAACACTGCTATTGTTAACCAAGCCACTGCTGCTCTAAGGGTTCTCTTCAAAGTCTCCCATGTTGCTTAGACAAAGTCCTCACAGCTTCAAAGATTTGGGCCTTTTGATGTAAATCTGCCCTGTTCAAACAAACAAACCCACCTCACAAACAACACCACTCCAAAGAAACAGTTCTTAATTTCTTTGTTGTTACTTCCCTTCTCCTTGTTTCTATGCCAATTTTTCATAGTACTTCATCTCTTGGCCACGTGACATAGCTGCTATCCTAACGTGAAATTTCACTTCTTGTTCTGAAGCCTGGCTTGGTCAAGAAAAGAGTATTGAAAAAACGTAATATTTGCATTCTCAAATTCTCCCTTGACAGTTTATGGATGCATGATTATGACGTGCTGTTCCTATTGTACTTCACAAGGAAACAAAACAAACTAATGCATTGTCCAGAACATCAAAATGAATGTAATTTCTAAAAAATTAGGCTAAGCACAAAGCTCATTGTTTTCAAATTTTAAAAGGAATCAGCTTGCTTCCTGTTCCACAGTACAGGAAGGATACTCTGGCTAAAGCATTAAGACTGGGAATAGCAAGTTAAATCTTGAAAATAAGGATGTTATTGCCTTATGTCATACAACACTGAGAATTTAAATGCAAACATTTAAGGGATGTGCCACAGCAGTTCAGTTGGTGCTTTAAAATACTGCTATACAACATAAGAATTACAAAGGACAGAGATGACAGAGGGTAAAAGTAAAACCAGTAAAATGTAAAGTGAGGCAAAGTTATTGAAAATTTCCTGAGTTCTTGTGGAAGCCTAAGAATACTTGCTTTAAGTAGTGATTTTTTTTTCTTTTTGAGTAATAATAAGTTTTAACTAACTCTAAAAGAAATTAAATATAACTGCAGAAATACTCTATAGAAGCTTGAAGATTTAGATGATTTGCTTTTGTTGTTAATTTCACGTTGCTCCCAGCGAGTCTGCACCTCTTCACGTGAGGTCTTCTACAAGCAGATGCAAGCTTGCACCTGTACTGTGAACCTGCTCCGACAGTACTGTGACACCTCCTCTCAGGAGCGCTTCCTAGGTTAGGTCTGGCTGTGTATTACAGACAGCTGCATGCTCCCCTTGAGTTCAGAGCATGATCTCTCATCTTTCTGCAGAAAACCACAAGGGTTTAAAAGTCCAACTGGTCTAATCTGTCCAAAAAACTGGGATTAAGTGTGTGCAAACATACGTTTCCAGTGTGCAAACTGTACATCCAACTTAAAAATCTACAAAGTTTATACAAATAACTGAATTAATAAAAATAATACATCAGGTCAGGATTTAATGCACATTCCTACAGAAAACTACAAGAAACGCAACTTTTGACAGACTGTTTTACGACATTAAGCTCGTATCCCTGGGCTTATTTCTAAGAATCTCCTACTGTGTTAGCACCGAGCAATGAGAAATCCACTCGGGGATGTCGAGGAAAGAGCTGCTATACCGCATCAGGTAACCAAGGCAGTCAGGATCAGTGGTGCTTCTCAAGGATGCTCTCACCTGCAACGCAGTGGGTCAACAAGCAAACGCTAGTGGTGTTACAACAGATAAAGGAATGCTCTCATTGATGTGAGCCATCTACCAACGTATAACAGGCAAGTCATCTATTAGGAAAAAAAGACATTTGGTGGTATTTGGTACTTCTGATTGTGAATGTGCTTTTTACTAGGATTTTTTATTTACTGAGCTTTATCACAAACCCCATTTTTGTAGCTGTAGCTGGTTCAGCCATGGCTACTTAAACATCACTAGTGCAGTGCTTTCAAATACTAGTGAACAGAAGTGGGAAAATTAAACACAACTTGCAAATAGGCCTCCACACCCAGTAGCATCACACTAGTTTGCATGGTTGTAACATCAGTTTGAAAGCCTTCACTCCTCCACAGATATGGCCAGCTGTCTAAACTGGAAAGTTATTATGTAGGAAGTATACACATTAGCTGTTCTTTGAAATCTATTACAAAGAATAGCTACTTGTTCTTTATTTCATCAGATATTATTTACTTAAAAATTTGGAAGGAATGTCAGGGCAAACTTGAATTGGATGTGCAAAATCTCACTGCAGGAAAAATAATTTCACAGTACTTTTAAGAAATTAGTTTAATTGTTAAACTAAAGTGGCAGAGGTTTATCTGTAGGAGATGATTATTTTTTTTTTAACTTGTATACCTTAACCCTAAGAAAATCAAATTATTCATTAACTATAGGTCACTCTCTCCCAGATCCAGTATTAACAGGATTCTCGGACTGCGCTTTCCATCTTCCATATGCAAAGCATCAGACATCCCCTTGGTGTTCCACTGCAGCAACACAGACGACGTGCAGTATTTGGTCGCACAGTTGGTAAGGAAGAAAGGTTGGACAGTCCGAATTTCAAGCAGCTTTGTTGGATTTAATTAACTGCTTCTGATGGTGCCTTTAATTGCTAGAGCAAGAGTGCTTGGGGGACAGAATTTATGGTAAACTGGAGTCCCTGCTAGCAGGGGAGCCTTTGAGAGCTGAGCAGCGTTTCCATTGGAATGACCCCGACCTCCTGGGGGACCAGAGAGTGTTCAGGTGGGAGGGAGGACAAAAACTCCTGCTCCTGAAGGGTCAGTGCAGCAAAAGTTAGGCAAAGAGATCTGAGGAAAGGTTTGGTCTCTCTGTCTCTCTTCCCCTCTCTCTTTTTTTAACATACAACTTTAGTCTTCTAGGGAAGAAGCATTTCAACCACAGTTTGGTATTTTGACTTTGAGTTACTATTTTAAAGAAGCAAGGGCATTAAAACATCTTGAAAGACTGCATCTCATCAGAAAAGATGAAACATGAAATAATCCATCTTAAATTGTAGTGCAAGGAGGAACTACTATCCAAACGCAACTACACGTTTAGCAATATAGTAATTATAATAGCAAGTCTTCACTAAGAAACCCTTGTATCAAGGAAATCTTTCAGACTCGGGTAAGCACCATACTGTGGAAGTAAGTATCTACTGAGAAAAAAGAACACGCAAAATGAGGAGGATGCTAACATTAGTCAGAATTTGTAGAAAAGCAGCAAGAGATAATTGATCTTTAGCTTATGGAAAGAGAAGGCATCTGAAGCCACAATCTTAACCTTGTTACAATTTTGGGGACATTATATGCAGTGAATAGCTCTATTACAGTCACAGACTTTACAAATCCCCTTTACTTTGCATAATATGTATTCCCCAGTATTCCCCTCGAACACCCTTTTTAGAAGAGTCTGCCTTAAACAGATTTAGCTGGAGAAATTTCTCTGAAAAACACCAGTGCACCAAAGCATCTATGTGAAGGTGCTGTTTCAAAT